CCAGATACAAGACAGGTCCGAGGTTCGATCTCTGACCCCACACTAACCTCAACCACTAAATGATTCAAAAAAAAAAATGTTATTTCACATTGATGCGTTCTTGGAGACGAGTTTCATGCCACGCATGTTATAGTTAGCGGTAATTGTCAAATATTTTATGTGAGTTATTCAAATTTAAATAATTTCGCACTCACTTGTTTCATTTTAAAAAACTTGTTGATACAAAAAAGGTCAAAAATTCTCAAAAATCTTCGCTTTCTTTATTTTTAGAAAGTTTGTTCTTTGAATTTTTTTATTAATAAATAATTATTATTTTAATATTATAATCATATTTAATTAATGAATTTGAATCATTTTGGAGGTTGTTTGTTTACCTCTTAATAGTTCAATTAAGAGGCAATATCTGAATCGTTAAGAGGCGAATCTTGTTTGACAAAAAAAGGGGTTTGTCTCTTAATGATTCCAAAATCCACTGAATGATTTTCTATCATGGGTTTCCCATAATCATTCAGAGCCCTAATTTCGTTGAAAATAATTACCAGACAATTATATTTCATTTTATATTATATCATAAACACCTATTAAACATCAAATCATTCAACAACCGTCAAACAACATCTTTCTCATTAATCTTTCTTATTTGTTTGACGAAATGGAAGACATTGTTTGATTGGCTTCTTTTGTAAGAATGGACACACACAGCCTTATCCATTGGCTTTATAATAATTAGGGCAACGTGTCTTCACAGATGACGGCCAGTTTGGAGATTCTATTCCTCCACGTGTCGTTTAAGCTTCTCCATAGTACTTGTGACACTTGTCAATCTCTTACTTGCAACCCTTTATTTTCTCTTTTCTTTCATTTTAAAACTTAGATTTGCACACAAAACAAATCTCTTTAAAAACATTCAATATATTTAATTTATTATATTTGGATAAAAATTTGATAACGATCTTCAGTCTTATATGGAACCAGTTTTTAAAGATGTCAATATAATGAGATATTTTTTGGTTCACTCAACGTTTGAGGTCAATGAAGGGGTTTGGGATCGAACCCAATAATATGTCGTGTATTCGGATAAAAAGCACAAACTGAAATAGAGAAGGGGGAAGATCCATCCAACGGTTGACCCGATCTTTGCTCAGTCATTGATAAATACCTAAAAATATCTTTCATATCGATAAAAATAAGTTTTAGATACTAATTAACGACATTGACGGTAGAGATTGGAGAGATCCATACGATCCACCTTGTATCTGTTCGAAAAGGGGAGAAAAGGAAAGGTACAAACAAAAGTCGTACATCAATAATAAGAAACAAATTGTGGGTTTTGTCGTGAAGAATAAACCGCATAAACCCTTAATCTTCATCCAATGGTGTCAATATCATATGCTTTTTTCATAAGTTCCAAAGCATTATAATTACTCTGACTATGACATCTTTCTTGTTGTCTTCTATGTTAAACCGGTGTCGTTTTGAAAAAAAAAATCCATTATTGCTTTACAATATGCTTTTAAATAAGAGCATCTGCAGCATTTGTGTTATTTTAGAAATTTTTGAGGTTTGGAAAAGGTTTGCTCGAACAGCTATGTTAAACTATCCTCTAAAATAGAGAAAAAAGAAGAGAAAAATGGAGTCGGATGCTAACAGTAAGTACTGTTTTAATTGTATGATTCATAATCACAATTGGCTAGAAAAAAATGTATGCTCGTGAGAAACTTTTAATAGGGTTTTTGAGCATGTCGATTTGACGTCACTAATTGTTATATTGAACATGATTTAATTGTATTTAGAATCGACTAAAACTCGATAATTACCAAGTTTAAGCTCAAATGACTTGTTAATTGATTGAGTCATCAACACTTGTTAGGATAACATATAATATCTTTTTAACAGTAAATGTCTAAATCGGTTTACATTCATCTCGATTAATTCTATTGGACCCTAAAGAAGAGTCAGAATAAGGGACCGTTTACCAAACACTTATTCGGGTAAACACTTACCACGTTACATTACCTTACCTAATCAATATGGCAATGACCAAGAATCTTACCAGGAAAGAGCGAATGTAAGGACTGAGAGTCTTACCCGGTAAGTGGCTACGACGACTCTTACCACAGTTAGCACTTACGAGGTTAGTTGTTGTATACGATACTTTTTTGGTGGACTAAAAAATCTTACCCAATAAGTAATTGATAGTTTTGAATTTTTTCGATAAACACTTACCCAGGTAAGTGTTGGTAAACAGCCCCTAAATCTCGATGTTCTATCATATGAAAGATCATATTGCCTAAAAATGAATATGGGAGGGCCCACAAAAGTTTGCCCATATTTAATGGGCTAGTTTTGGTTATAATGGGCCTTTTCAAATGAAACAAATTGAATTGGAAATTTTGCATATTGGTCCCACAACATTTCTTTTTGACAAAATAGACCCATGTGACCATGCACTATATTGTGTCCTCTAAAAAGTAAAAAACATTAATAAACCAGAAAAAAAAAGGTTACTCTATTTTTAGAGTTTTCAATTATATATTTTTATGTCTTAAAATAAATGTTAATATTTTTTATATATGTTTTGAAATAAGTGTTAAGTTTCAACCATAGATAACATAATTTTTAAATCTAAACCACAAAAGTGGTGTTTGATTGGTTTGAGTTTGGACTCAAAAGGTCAAAAATATTTGTAGATCTCATGTTCTAATTCAAGAAAGAATAAAAATCCTCTTATGACCACAAAAGTTCAAATACGGTGACTTTGGGGGTCCGGACTACTCTAAAACAAGTGGTCGGCCTGTAGTGATTGGTTTGAACTTGAACTCTAAAGATCAAAAATATCTGTAGATCTCAGGTTCAAATCTAAGAAGGAAAAAAAATTCTCTTATGGCCACGGAGGTTCAAATACGGTGTCTCCGGGTCCGAACTACCCTAAAACAGGTGGTCGCCCTGTAGTGATTGGTTTGAGCTTGAACTCAAAAGATCAAAAATATCTGTAGATCTCAGATTCAAATCCAAGAAGGAATAAAAATTCTCTTATGGCCACGGAGGTTCAAATACGATGTCTCCGAGTCCGGACTACCCTAAAACAGGTGGTCGCGCTGTTGTTAGTCGGTTCACATAGCGGGTTGGATATCCATGAAATGAATGTGATATAGTGGAGTGATTGATATGATCTTAAAATACATTTGATATGATTAATAAATAAGTTTTTGTTTGAATACGTAACTGAAATTAAAAAATACAACAATACATTTTACAGAATGATTATTGTAAAGTTCAAAAAGTAACGATTCAAGTCATTTTTTGATAATCATAAGTTAACTTATTTTTTATCTGATTAAAAAAACTTCAATTAGTTAACATTTTAATAAGTTTCAGGATTCTTTTTCAACTGTACCAGGTTCATCATTTTAAAGATTTAAATACTGATTATATATTATGAAAATATTACATTCATCGAATAAAATATTATTTTTCACTAAATATTTATTTTCAAAGTTTTTTGTTGATGAAAATATATTAAAAGAGATTTTTACACTCTCTCTTCCACTTTCTGTGAAGAATTTATTAGAACAAAAAACATGTCCAAAATCCCTAAAATCTCTATTTTCTTTATTTTAAGAAATATGTTGGAAATTTATCAAATAAGAACATTTCCAACAGCTTCTCAAAAATGGTGTTAATGAAGATTTTGGGTGTTTTTTTTTTGTTCCAACAGATTCTCCAAAACCTTCTGCAAAATGAAAAATGTAGAAGATAGAAAAAGTTCTTCAAATATGGGGAATCCCCTAAAAATAATTACTTACGATTTTCACCAATAAGAGCATATGAAATCAGATATATAAGAGAGAAATAATATTTTAATATTATAACCGATGTTATGATTTCAAAAACGGAATCTGTTGGAAATGGAAGTACAGTAATATTTTTTTTGAAGCTTTTGCTCTTCAACTTCCTATTTCGAAGAAAATTCTGAGAATATGATATAGATGCTCAACATCTTCAATAGCTATGTTATAATAGAAATTTTGGTTATTTAAGGGGTGTTTGAGATTGCTTATTTGAAACAACTTATACTTTTCTATAAAAGCACTTATCAACTTATTATAAATCAGAAGGGTTTATTTTTTTAAAAACTTCTTATTACAGGTTTGGCACCGGTATAAGTTGTTTATCCAAACACTAAAAAATATTTATTACTGGTACCACACCGAAATAAGTCAATAAGTTATTTTTATAAACAATCTCAAACACCCCCTTAGTGGAGATTTGTGCTCCAAAAACTATGTTATATGGTACTGAGAAATAGAAAATGTAGAAACAATATAAAAATCTCTAAATATAAAGAAATCTCTACAAATTCTATACAGGAGAGAGAATCTTATTTCTCTTTTACCAATAAAAGATGTATTAAAAATAAATATTTATAAAAAATATTTTATTAAATATATAAAATATTTTAATAATTTAATTAAGTTAAAATTGTTAAAATAGAGTAACGATAAATACATTTTTTTATAAATATTTTAACTTTTCATATTTTATTTAAAAAACGATATTTTTCCAAAAATATCATAAAAATTAATTAATAATAAAATTGATATTTAAATTAGCAGCAGATATATCCATTGAAGTTGGTGTAAATTGTACTCCATGCAAGTTGACTTGTATACATAATAAACACAAACAAAGGAATAACAACTAGCGTAAGTTGTACCTCATGCAGGTTATCTTGTACAGAGTTACGTGAGCCACAAGTAAGCCGAGTAAGCTAAGCTGTATATTAGATTAGGCAGCTCAATTACTTTTAGAGAGAGAAAATATAGACTTTTAGAGAGAGAAATCTGGTCCCACACTCAAACGACAGAGAATGATTGAGTACTCGGAACGATTCCGATTCCGATTCTAATCCTCTATAAATTCACCATTTTCGACTCTTCAATCCCCAATTCCTTCACGAAACTAACTGAATCTGAGCTGAAATCGATTTCCGATCGGTCATGGCGGAGGAGTTTGAAGAATCTGACGTTGTGTTCACCGGAAACAATGATTATGAAGACGGTGATCATCATTGCTTCGTCAAATGCTTTGGAGATTCAGATTCAGAGGAATCACGAGGAGCGAAGAGGAAGAAAATCGATAAGAAGATCTCGACAAAGAAGGCGAAGGCGAAGGCGAAGGCGGTGAACATACCGGAGATCTTCTCGTGGTTTCATGTAATGGAACCGAGTTTATTCGAACACGAAGAAGGAGAAATGATTCCGCCTCATGTGATGGTACTGCGGCGGCGGGTGGCGGAGAAAATGGCGTTTTCCGTTTGCTCTGGTATGGGAAGGACATTGAAAGGAAGAGATTTAAGTGAAGTTAGGAATTGCGTGCTTAGGATGACTGGTTTTCTGGAAACTTGAAGAAGATGAGATGAGATGGAATCACCATTTTCGAACTGAAGAATTCATTCGATTGATGATGAAGAGCTTAATTTGGAAGGCATTTTCGTGAGTAAATCTCTGAAGTAACATTGAATTGATATGAATTATTGTTCATTTGAAGACAAATGAATTTAAATTAATTATATTAACCATTTTATTTTTTATTTATCTATTTAAATTTAAAAATGAATTTATGTAAATTTATAATGATTGAATTTGTGTGTGTGTATAATATATGTATATTTTTAAATACTATTATATATTTACATGAAGAAAAAGCATTAACAAACTTTAATTGCTTTTATTGAGATATAAATTTTAACATAAATTACAACGATGGTATCTGATTGGTTTAAATTTAAACTCCAAAAGTCAAAAATACCTGGATTGAATTGAATAATGTGGGTTGGATGCTTGGATTAGTTGATCCATCCATCAATATTTTTGGTTATTTTATAATTTTATAGATAATTGATATATTTAATATTATTACATAAATGTAATAATATAATACCATTTATCTTACGTCATATTTAGGGATTGTTTATCAAAAACTTATTCGGTAAGTATTTATCGGTAAATTTTAACATTATTATTTACTTACCGGATAGGATTTTAGTCTACCAAAAAGACATTGTATGCAACAATTTACCCGGTAAACACTTACCGTGGTAAGAGTCGTCTCCCTTAGTTACTGGATAAGACTCATGATCTTTGTCTCGCTCTTACCGGATAAGATTCTTGGTCCTTACCATATTCATTCGATGAGGTAATGTGACTTGATAAGCACTTACCCAGGTAAGTGTTTGGTAAACGGCCCCTTAGAGTAAGGGGTCGTTTACCCAAATGCTTATCTTGTAAGCGCTTATCAATAGAAGTTAATACTGTAGTTTGTTTTGATGTGTAAGATTTTAGTATATCAAAACATATCGAATGTAACAATTTACTTGGTAAGCGCTTACTTGGGTAAAAGTCGTCATCCTCACTTACCGGGTAAGACTCTTCATCATTCTCATCGCTCTTACACGGTAAGATTATTGGTCCTTCTCATGTTCATCCAATGAGGAAATTTATGCATTAAACATTTATCAAGTAAGTCTTTAGTAAACGTCCCCTAAGTTTACAAGTTTTATTCTTTCGATTTGTTGCAAAACAAAATATAATTTTTAGGTTCGAAAAATTTGAGTTGGAATTATGTATTTTTTGCATTGTTGACAATCGGTTTGCCTAACATTTGGTTTGTTTGTCTTGCCTAAAACTCGACCTTCTATGAGCGGTATTTATGAGTTTCAATGGGCTCGTATTTGCTCAGGAGTTGATTTCGCTTCAATCATATAATTTATAAAAGAAATAAAGTTTATATATATATACATAACGATAAAAAAAAGTTCAATTGTGAATCTAGTTTCATTGTGCATTGGGAGATAATCAAGAGCATGATACGTGTCACATTCATCTTTTATAATGTTTGTGACACATGGCGCGTTATATATATATATAGAGAGAGAGAGAGGGGGGGAGGGGGGGAGGTAAATTTAGGAGAAAACCTTCTAAAAAATGAAAAATTGAGGTACATATTGTTAACCATTCATTTGTACAATATACAGATAAATCATAAAAATTGAAAACTTTTCATCATAGTAAAAGCAGAATCTTTCCTTCTAGGTAGAAGGAATAAAGAGAACATCCTAATAAATCTTGCCTTCCTCTACCTCTACCTCATGAGAGTGAGTTTGTATGCTTGTTGCTGGCTTTTTCACCAGGCAAATTATCAAGTCGATGTTCATATAACTGCATTTTGATATTCTCACTTTTCTCTTCGATGAGCTGATCTTTAAAGTATCGAACAAATTGTAACGAGTTATTTATATTAATTAACATACATATTATACAGATAAATGGTTATTAGAGTGTTTCTTAATATATATATATATATATATATATATTTTTAAATAAATCTGAACCTGTAATATAAAATTTGATTTTAAAATATCTTTTGGGATCTGATATGATTGTTTCTGTTATGTGTATGCAAATAATTATATCTTAAAAAAATAGTTACTTGTTTGAGTGTGTAAGATTGTTGTCATGTTGATAAAGAGAATTCATTCACCTCCCAATTATTAAATTATTATTTATTATTTATTATTTATTTTTGTATTTTTTAGTTAGTTATTCTTTAAAACAGTATAATAATATAATTAAAAATAATGAATTGGTACTCTGTGTTTTTTGTTTAAATTATAACATATTTAATATTTTAAACATATTTAATTTAATTTCCAAAACTAATATATTTATCTTGTTCACTAATTTTATTCCATTATCTCACATCATATGCTTCAAAGAAACCAGATAATCTTTGGGAATTTCATGAAAGCATACCAAAATTTATTAACATGGTATTTTCATATATATATATATATATATATATATATAGAGGGAGAGAGAGAGTTTGTTTCAAATACAACTCATCGCATTTGTACAACCAATGCAACCCAATATATTGAGATATTTATGGAAATGATGAKAGWTCATTTATTATGATTTGAATATTTATAGAAGATGAATATGATTCATTAATTATGATTGATACTTTATATTATGGAATTTTTTTTTAAGAAATCACATATTAATCAAATGAAATGGACGGTTGAGATCGGGTTGTATTGGTTGCACAAATGTCAAGTGTTGTATAATAACCAACCTCTCTATATATCTATACTATCTTATTAAGCAAATTTAACAAAAGTCTTAAAGTTTTAAAATTCTAAATGACCAAGATACCATTTATACTACTCTTTAGTCACTTTTTCACCCCCTCCTCTCCTCACATACACTCACCCTCTCACATTTTTTTTAAATTATAATTTTAAATTTATACTTTATACCCCTATAATTAATTAATTAATTTATTTTACGTCATTTACTTTTAAATGTTTCATTTTAAACCTTTATCAAATTAACATACATAATCGTATATCAATTAAAACATGTTTAAAAAATGCATTTTTATTGAATAGTTTTTTAGTTCAATATTGAATAGTTTTTGACTTAATTATATTATTATATATTATATATACTGTGAAAAAAATATTTTTAATATTTACGATCTATAGTTTTATAGTTATTTATTTATATATATACTATATATTTTGGGGTTAGGCTGTCCAAATTACACCGTATAATATGTTTTGAATTAATATGTTCTTGAGTTTTTTTGAGTTTCTGGACAAGAAAGAGGGTAAGCAGTTGAAATTTCATTCTAAAACCCATCTTTTTTTGTCTTTTCATGGCTTATGATCCGTCAAATTTGTAGTTTTCTTTATTGGTTTTGA